CATTACCAGAAAGCTCTGGGTGGAGAGTTAGGAGTTAGGAGCGCTGCCTTTGTTAGAAGGGGCCCTGGTGGCGTAGCAAGTACGTGTTGGGCTGCTCACCACCAGGTCAGTAGTTTGAAACCTAGGGAGAACAGTGGGGTTTTCCATTCCCACTGTCTCAGTCTCCGTTCTTCCCGGCCCTGTAGGGTCACTGTGAGTCAGAAGGCATTCGATGGCAGGAAGCGCTTGGTCTCTTTGGGGAAGTCTGGTCCCCTGGTTGAAACTCAGGACTCAGGTGGTCAGTTAGGAAGGAGGCTGTCAGGTGACGTCTCAGGGGCTGACATCCTGTGGATTTATGAATCGGGTTGAGTCGTCTGGCCATTTTTGTGTTCCTCGTTAGCCTCACTAGAAGACACACGACTAAGTGTCTACGTTAGCAAGACACCATGCTGCTTTTGGAAAAGGACTTGTCCCGGAGGTGTGCCCCCTCTGTGCTTGGGCATCTCCGTGCCTTCCTTGGTGATGGAGAAGCCCCAGCGAAGGCAGTCTCCTCCGAGAGTCTCGGTGGAAAGAGTGGAACAGAAGGCAGAGGGAGCGCCTTCACACATCCATCATGTCTAAGGTGACCAGATTTTAACAGTGGTAACGCGGGACACCATTGATAAAACTCATATCCTGGCAAAATAGCCACATGGCAGCCAAAAACTGTATACCCTAGCTTGTCGGGCATTCTTTCCAAAAATCGGGACTTTTTTAAAACTCCGCGGGACGCGGGACAGATTGTTAAAAATCGGAACTGTCCCGCCAAAAGCGGGACGTCTGGTCACCTTAATCATGTCACAAGGACCTACTGTGTGCCCTCCATTGTTCCCAAAACTGGGGAAGCCCAAGAAAAGGACAGCTGATCTGGACTGACAGACGTGCTCACCTGCGATGTGCTGCCGACCATGCGCGGCACAGAATCACCCTCTCCCTATTTACCGCTTGTGCGGCAACCAGGGCTATTCGAGCTGCTGTCGCCTGGGCACTGCCTTTTCTCCAACCAGCTGCTGTGTCCACACTGACTGCAGTTTCCACAGGACCAGCCAGGGCTTGCAGATGGGCCTCAAACAGGGGAGCCATCTGGGAGCTTTAAAGCACAAGTGTCTTGACCCCAACTCACTTAGATGAGTTACAACTCATGTGGCTGAAGTGGAGGATGGTTCAAAACCTACCCCAGTGATCCACATACCCACCCTTGCCGGAACTCTGTTCCCACCAACCCCCACCTCCACAACTTATCAGCTCAGATGCCTTCCTCTCACATGCTTCCTGTCGCTGTGCCTGGCCCATCCCTTACTTCTCTCTTTCTAAGCCCCTTGACACTCATGCATTAAGCCCTTTCATGGCCCCCCCACCCCGATTTCTGCCCCACCCTGCCTCTGCCCCAGTATGGGAACTGCTAACTTCGATGGCATATGACTCTGGTAGTCAAGACCTGTTCTTAATACCCAAGTTCTTACCATCATCGTCATATCTTCCCCCGAAACATCATTTCCCAGTGGTGAACACAAGCTGTGTTGCTTCTCTGGGGGTGGGTGAGGGGGTGGTGTGTGTGTGTGTGTGTGTAATAAGCTTAGCACGTTTTTATAGACTGGTTTTGGGAGTTTAACCACCAAATAAATACTGTTTTCATTTAAAACTGAGGCGTCTGCTATGTAGAGTAGTAAAATGTTATTCATGTTCTTGTTACACTTAAGCCCTAGTAGGAAGAAAAGAGACTTCATCCCATAGAAAAACATAGTCCAGTGCAGAATCTAGAGCTAGATTTCCACACCCTGCAGACCAGTGGTTCTCAAACTTGGGTATAGTTAGAGATCCCGTGGAAGCTTTTAAGAAATAGACATGGTCTAACCACATTCCACTGGAGCCTGGTTTAGTGCCCTTGAAGTGAAGCTTGAGCCTGGACCTTTAAAAACAAGCTGCCCAGGAGGTTGTACTGTGCCCCCAAGTTGGGGAGGGATCCATGCACATGAAATCAGAGAGATGAGAGGTCCGGGCAGGCCGGAGGAGATGAAGGGGCTTCAGGATGGGTTTGAGAGTTGCCCCTTCCTTAGAGGGGAATGTGCTGTGACCAGGGGAGGCAAGCTTGTTAGGCTCCTCTCCCAGACTCTGGTGCCTTGGCCCTCCTGGGGTGCTGTTTTGGGGGGTTTCTGTCCTGGCATCTGTCTGCCTTGGCTCCCAGCTGAGGCACCTTGGCACATGCTTCCTTGATCAGGAAGTGTCTGTCTGGGGCCACCAGTGTGTCATCCTGGCAGCAGGCTGCCACCATTAATCTTTTAGGTTCAGTAATTAGAGCGGACCCAGAGCCTTCACTTTGGATCAAGCCTCGGAGATCCTGGGGTTGTTTTCTCCTGTGTCATCCGTTTCCCTCCGGGTGGTGAGGAAGGTGGTGGGGGGACCGCCTTTCAGACTATCATCATGTTTTCCTGGCTTCTCATGGGAAAGAGGAGGAGGTATGTGTTAGCCTAGGAGCAGACTGTGGGTAGCGTGTGGGTGACTGGGGTGAGGAATAAGCAGTCCCTTTCTCCCCTGCAAACAGGGCGAGCTCGAGGGGGAAGCAGGAACCGAAGGGTGGAGTAACTCTGGAAGGGTGGAAGGGATGAAGTAGTTGAAATCTGATCAGCTCCAATCTGTCATTGCGCTCCCCAAATGCCACTACATCACTCCTTATTCAAGATAGGGCTCTGGAGGCCTTTGGGCTGTGGTGTTGGGGTGAGGAGAGTGAGTTGTGCAAGACCAGCCCCAAGACTTGGCATTTGCATCTTGTCATTAGTGTTGTGGGAAGTGGCTGGGGGGTGGGGGAAACAGGGTAGCATATAGATGTACCCTAGGGGTTCTCTCTCTTTCCATTCTCACAGCAACTCTGTGAGATAGCACTTATTACCGTCATTTTATAGGTAAACGATTTATAGAGAATGATGGTTACTGCTCAAGCTTCCTAAATTACACTGTGCTGCCCGGAACACTGGCATGAGAGACAGGAGGCCTAAGCTGTTACTCAGGGTCTGCCACCAGTTGTGTAGCTTCAGACAGATCCCCTCACTCACAGGTCAGCTGCAAAACCTGGGATGGGCGGGGCAGATACTCCAGCAGCTGTCACTGATTCCGTGTCCCCTTCGCTGTGACCTGGATGTGAAGACTTGGCCTGCTGTTTAAGCCGTCTAACTGCACAGAGTCCGCCCAGGATGGTTAGAGGTCGCCTCTAGTGCAGTGTCAGTCACATGCTTCCACTTTAGGGAGCTATAGCTCCCTTTTGCCTATGATTTAGGGCCTCCCAGGCATCTCTCTCTCTACCCAGTAGAAGTTTCCTAAGAAAAAACACAATGAACTGTGTAGTTCCAACGTGTCCCCTCCACTATATCTTGTGAATCTGAAATTTCACCACGAATTGTTCCAAGGGATGGATAGTAATTCAGAGAGTTATGGCTAAAAGGACTCTTCCCTCTCGTCTAAGAAATTTCTACCCTTGATCTTAGCCAAAAGGCCGAGAAGTGATTGGTCTAAGAAATTTCTTAGGAGACTCTCCTAGGAAGACAGGTCTCTGAGACACATTGGAACCAAGAAGAACTGGCTCCCTGTTCATCCTTTGGGAAGTTTATGAATTTCCTGTGATGCAACATTCACTTCTGTTGATTGCTCTGAGATGCCGTTAGTGCGCATGTGAGGTCTTCAAAGGCTATTCTTGGAGGCTTCTGACCGCCGTTTAAGAGGTCACCAGAAGCTATAGTCAGATTCTTGGAGTGAATTTTCCAAGGTGTGCATTAGCGACGCTGGGCTGTGATTTCCAACCTGGCCATTGGTTGGAATGCTATCCTCCGTGTGTCATCAGTGCTTCAGGTCTGACAGAAAGCTTAGGAACGCGAAGAGGTGGCTCTGAGGTAGAGACTGTCGCCAGGCAGAGGGTGCCTGCGGATGTCTTACAGCTTCAGTTGCTGTTAGTGGCTATTGAGTCTGGTCTGACTCACGGTGAGCCCGTGTGTGCAAGTGGAACTGCGCCCGAGGGTTGGCAAGGCCATGACCTCTCAGAAGCCCAGCTTGTCTTGTGAGGCTTGTCTGGATAGGTTTGAACCACTAACTTTTTCAGCTACGCTTAACCATTTGCACCACTAGCACCTTGAAGTTAATGCTTTTATCTTGCACACACATCGCTTCAGTTGATACTCATAGCAGCCCTGTGAGGTACATGCAAATTTTGCGAAGCATTCTATAGTTTTATGAACTGTTGAATGTAAAATGAGGATCTGCTCTGTGTTTACACCTAATTCACAATAAAAAGTTATGAAAGATGGGGTGGGGGGTGCAGGCCGAATGGGGGAGCGAATATCAAGGAGTTCAAGAAGGAAGTTTTGAAACTGATCGTGGTAGCGATTGTACACTTGATATGACTACACTATTGAGCGGAATGATGTCTAGATTTTTTCCTAATAAAATATTTTTTGGGGGGGGGAGGGGGAGTTACAAAAGAAAAACAGAATAATGGGATTTTTCCCATGAACTTTACAATTTTATTTTATTTTTTTTTAATTAAAAAAATAATTTTCCAAGAACTTTTTGAAGTCCTCCCTGTTATACCAGGGGGCTGTTCCAAGTACTCTTTAGGGTATTAACTCATCATTACAATTACCGCAGCAGTTAGGCACCATTATCATCCTTGCCTTAAAGGAAAATCTGAGACGCGGTGATTAAGATCTTGCTCACAGTCAAGCGGTGAAGCCTCCACTGTTAACTACAGAAGTTGAGTGTCTCTCTCTACTAATAACGCCAGGGTAGTAGTAACACACAGGCAACGTGTGCATCAAAGTGGCACGAGTTTTACAGGTGAGGAAAGTGAACCAGAGAATATGGTTAGGAGAGTTGCTCAAGGTTGCAAAGCCAGAAAGTGGCTGAAACAGAACTAGAGCTTGGTCTTCTGCCCTCAGTGCTGTCCCCACTACCGCATGTAATGTTCTTAACAAGAAAAAAAAAATCTGTCTTTTCAGAACCTGGCGGTTGGGGCAGGAGCTGTTGGATCTTTGCAGCTGACCTACATCTCAAAGGTAATGCGATCTTGGAGTTCCGGGGGTTCATGTTTGCTAAGTAGGTTTAGTATGTAAACCAGAGGCCGTGTCATATCATTTGGGTGCTAGCATTTGGGGACCTTGGTGGACATTACCCCTTTCCTCCAGTATCACCTGTGGTCAGGGGCAGATTTAACGTTGATCAGCAGATTTTTAGAGGATGGGGCATCTTTACTCTTTAGGCCCATCAATCAGCAGTACTTCCTCCCAGCCCCCAGCCAAGGAGGTATAGGTAGTGGTTGGACTTGGGGGTCCGAAAGAAAGATGTAACAAACACAACACTGAGGGTAATAAGTTTAAACATTTTCCCAGTCACTTGGCACAGGACGACTGTGGAGAGCAAGCTAAGACTACCCAGAGAAGATGCTGATATGTGCTGGGAGAATGTTTAGCAGCCAGCTAACTGCCTGAGAGCCTGCCCAGCAGCCTGGCCAGCGATCATCAAGCAGCCCCTTCCTGGAGTGGAGACCCAAGGGTGGGGGCCAGATCTGGCGCTCATGAGTAGCTGCAGGGTCCTCCCCGGAGTCAGGACCAGTGCGGCTCTGTCATGCGAAGGCCAGGGACTTAGAGCCTCTCCTGAAAGAGGAACTCTTTGTACTGCGGGGAGAGCCAGGTAGCTCCCAGCCAGCCCTGAAGTTCCGGAAGTCCTGCGCTCACCCCACCCCCCAACACTTCAGGCCCCTTGCGAGCCTCTACTTCCCTGTCTGTCACCTCCTTCCATCTTTAGAAGGTTGAGACATGGGCGTTGCCTGCCCTGAATGTCTCCTGACCCTGGGAATCTTTGTGTGTGGCTCCCAACCTCAGCTGCTTGGGAGCTGAGTGTGGAGAGGTGGACTGGGGGGGGGATCGGGAAGAGGAGAGCCCACCTCTCGCTGAGGGGCAGGCTGACCTTGTGCCCGTGGGCTGCGGAGTACAAAGGCAGAAGATGCAGGGCTGTGTCTGCGCAGATTAGAGAGCAGCGGAGATAATGACCTTGGGGGAGCGGGGAGGGCCTTCAGCGAGCACAGCTCTGCTGGCGCAGCTGTGGGCCATTTGTACATGCCTTGTGGTCAGCCCCGAGGCTCCCTCGCCAGCCCCAAGGCCGGGGCCCTGCGGTCCGCCCCCTGGCCTGGCCTCCTTAGGGTATTTCTCCTGGGGGTTTGGGGAACTAGAATTGAGAGAGGGGAAGCACGGACCTCATTATATATGGAAACCAAAACCCCCCTTCTGAGACTGTTTGGGAAGGTGTTTTTTTTTTTTTTTTTTTGTGGTGGGGGCGGAATGAATATACTCTCCTGCTGAGTCACGGTTTGGAAGTGCGGCTCAGAGGAGGGCTTTTAGCCTTCTCAGCCTCATTTAGAAAGGATGGACCTGCCTTTTAGCCCTTCATGGGAGAGGCAGGCTTGGGTGGGCATGCAGTACCCACAGCTGCTACCGGGTCACGTGACACCGAGCCTTTAACTCCTGCGTGATCCTCAGCCAGAAAGCCTGGGCTTTCCCAGAAAGAGCATGAAACGAAAACCCCCCAAAACCCTGTTAGCTGTGGCCCTAGTATCAAGTTCACCACTCAGGGCTATCTCAGAGGGAAAAGGGTTCTTTCTCGGTAACCTTTAGGTAGCCCATCACCGAGTAAGGCATTTCACTGGAGTGCCAGGCAGCGCAGCGTGGTCTCTCCGTGGTGTCTGTCCGGTGCCGGCTCATGTTGGGGAGACAGGGAATGGCCGTGGTCCTCCAGGAGACACAGTTGAGCGTGAGTGACCGGATGCCATCTGGAGCACTGATGGCCGCAGAACCAGGTCTTAGGCAACCTGGAAAATAGTCGAAGCTGGTCTTTGGCACCACCCACCCTCCCACTTTGCCTAATGGTCCTTCTCTCACGCTCTGCCTGCCCCAACCCTGGCTTGTGGCTGATTTTGTCAGGGCCTGCCTCACCCAAAGTTAGCTGTTCAGGAGAACTTCCTAAAGCAGTGCTTCTTAACGTCTTGGGAGGCCGGGGGATCTTTCTGAGAGTCTGAGGGAACGTGCAGACTCCTGCTCCGGGCTGCTGTGCATATCCCCCTAACCCCCCTCGATCTTGCCTCTCATTCTAGGGCCCATTAGCCCTCTGAAGCTGGTCCCGAGCCCCCCAGCTTAGAGCTCCTGTAATCATCCTGTGCAGGTGGCTGCTTATTGCCCCACGCCTTAAGCCACCTGTGGGCCAAGTTCGCTGTGGATACTGAGGCAGAGCTGCACCAGAGCTCCAAGGTGTGTGCTTTGTTACTGCTACTGCCAGAGGGCCCCCAGCGCCACTCCGGCTAAGGCTGGCAGGGTGGGGGGTAGCCTAAGCAGTGCCCTGGTACTGACGTGTTGACTGCACCCATGGTCGGTTTGATCAGCTAAGAGCAAGTTCTTGAGAGTTGAGGTCTGGAGCGAGCCTCCCTGGGTGCGTCACTCTACCAGTGATCTGGCCATCCCCTCCTCACATCCTTCACCCCTCCTCAGTCCCCAGCCCCTCTTCCGCATGCTGCCATGGCCACTTCCTGGCATGCTGTTGGTTACCCCTGTCAACTCTCTTTGCTGCCTGCAGCCACTCTTCATCAGACCCTGTTTTGTCCCCTCTACTGATTCAGACGGCTGGCCCCCGAGTGACTCAAGCTTCTCTGCACCCAGTCACTAATCACCTCAGGGTTGATGGTTTGAACCCACGGGACACGGCCGAAGAAAAGCCTGGTGATCTGCTCTTGTGAAGATTGTTATTGTTGGGTGCCATGGAACTGATCCCAACTCCTGGCCACCCGATAGGGCAGACCAGAGCCGTCCCATTGGGTTTCCTAAGCTATCATCTAAGGGAGTAGATTGCCAAGCCAGGCCTCCCTCAGAACGGCTGGTGGGTTTGAACCCTTGACCTTTCAGTTAGCAGCTGAGGGCTGAACCTTTGTGCCACCAAAGTTCCTGTCTGCCACGGGGACAGTCAAGAAAACCCTCTGGGGTAGTTCTACCCCGTGCCACAAGGCGTCAGTAGGCGTTGGAATCAATTTGACGGCAGTAGGTTCTGTTTTCCTTGACGTTGAAGGGAGGCGCTAGCAGCCTGTCCTGGTCATTAAGGTGTGGCGAGGCTGGCAGGAGAGGGGGCACATGTTCAGCTTCCATGGCTACTGGCATTTAAGGAAGAGGTCAAAGCCACGGAGACACGATGGAGCTCTTATGGACAAGAGCCACCTCAGGGACAGAACAAGGAAGAGGGTCATAACGGACCAGAGTGTCGGGTGGAAGCAGGCCAAAACCTGGTTCAGGCCACTGGGGGCCAGGAACCCAGGCCGACGGGATGGTATGGAGGCCACAGGGCGATTCTGTTTGAGAGCCGCACTGCACAGCTTAACACCCGTGTGCTGTGCAGACATGACTGACTTTGTGCTGGCTCGTCTGTTTGCACTCGGCCTAATGGGGCCTCACCTTTGCTTAAACCTTCATTAAAAAACCCAACCCCCCACCCTAAAAAAACCTCCATTTCCCCCCCAAGACCCTATGTCCTCCACCTCCACATCATGGTAAACGTGTCAAAATGTACCCACATCCCTCATTAAACATAGTGATTTTGCTGTAAAATATTTGAAAAGAATGTAATCCTCTTACTTTTGGAATTATCTGGCTGTGAGTAATTAATTTAATTTGTGCCTGGCTCCAGTTTCCCGGCAGTCGTCTTACATACCCAAGGTCTCTTGTGAAGTAGGAAAATCTAGCTTACTGATTATTTTAAAATGTAATGCCTTGTCTTGACTCTTTCATTGAAGAATTAATGAAGTTGACAATGTGACATCCTGTAGACACTTAGAGACTTGTCCGTGAGGTTGAGCTAGTGTTTTGCAGACCCGAGTATTGATTCACAGTGATTATCCCATCTTCATTTGTTTATTTGTAGGCCCCTGAGGAGCCCGTGGGCCTCAACGTTTTGCTCAGTGTGTTGAGGGGACAAAATGGCCTGTTAATGTTAGTACTCCCTCCTGCATGGAGCAGCGTCTGTGAGACAGGATAGGTTAAAGGGTTTACGTGCGCAGTCATGTAAAACCCGTCTTAAATCCTGGTCGCTGATTGGTCGATCAGGAAGTGGAGCCTGGGCTCTGACTGTAAAGCGCAGGCTGTATTGTCTGTCCTTTTGATCGTTCACAGGCCCGCTACCCCAGTTCCCCTCTCGAATGTTTGGAGCAGTTTTTGTTTTTTTAAATCCTTTTATCGGGGGCGCTTACAGTTCTTATAACATTCCATTAATGTATTAAACATATTTGTACATATGTTACCATCATCATTTTCTAAACATTTACTTTCTATTTGAGCCCTTTTAATTTTGGTTGTTAAAGCAATCTACATAGGAAGAGTTTAGAGTCAGAGCAAGACTCTAGCCAGTTTGATGGGTGGGTCAATCATTGAAAATACCACCAGCCAGTTACCATAAATTGAACTTAGCTCACGCTAATCCCATGTGTGTCAGAACTGTGGTCCATAGGATTATCAGGGCCTGATTTTCCATCAGCCTATTAGAGACAATAATACTGTGGTCTCAGTGAGTTACTCATCATGTTACGTGTGATCACACATGTAGAGCCTTTAACCTATCCTGTCATACAGACGCTGTATGACAAAACACCGCTGGGTATGCTCGAATCTCCTGTAGGTTAGCAGCTGAAAACATTAACCACTGGCACCACCCAGGGACCTAAATTTTGACTCAAAGATTTTTCTCCAGCTTCTGATAGATAAACCAGCAGAAACATGACAAATATTTTATAATCCCACTTATATGAAATATCTAGAACAGGCAAATTAATCGATGCCAAGGTTTATTAGATATGGTGGCTAGTAGGAGCCCTGTTGTAGCTTACATGTTGGGCTTCTAACCACAAAGTCATGCATTTGAAACCACTCCTTGGGAAAAGATCGAGGCTGTCAACTCTTGTAAAGAGTTACAGTCTTAAAGCCCACAGAGGCAGTTCTGCTCTGCCCTACTGGGTGTTAGGAGTTGCAGTCAACTCGATGACAGTGGGTTTGGAGTGTTTTGAGGGCTGGGTGGAAGCAGGGACCCTGAGTTTTTATTAAGGGCAATGAAAATATTTGGACACGGATAGTAGTTGCACAACACGGTGAACGTAATAGACATCACCGAATTGCACATGCAAAAATGGCCGAAATGGCAAATATCTTCTTAAAGTCTGCCCCAGCTTAAAAACATATACTTCCTTTTTTACAGGCCCTTCCATTTAAATGAATACATAAGTATGGTCTCTGATTACATCAGCTCCTCCCTGCGTACGTGGGAAGTGCTTATTTTCATGGTTAAGCAACCAACGTAAGCTAGGGAGGAAATTGATCATTGTATCTAAATTTAGTGACTGTCCTGCTGACACGAGTCCCTTAATTGGAATGTGCGTTGTAGTTGCACCCATACCACCTTGAACTTGAAGAACTCTTTAGGAGAGGCTGCCAGTGGTTGAAGGAACCCTGGTGGCCCAGTGGTTAAAATGCTCAGCTGCTAACTGAAAGCTTGGTTGGTGGTCTGAGCCCCCCAGCCTCTGTTCAGGAGAAAGATGAGGAATCTGCTTCTGTAAAAATTACTGTATATACTCTAGTATAAGCCGGCCCGAATATCAGCCAAGGCACCTAATTTTACTACCAAAACTGCATTAAAAATGTGCATCAAAGAACAAAAAATCATATCATTGTGTGCTCACCTCCATGATATGA